CACTCACCCCCCTCTGGGCAAGAGAAAGGCTCCTAACAAAACAAGCGTCCCCCAGCCCGCCCCTCGCCAAGACAAAGCCAGCACGTGAGCCCAGCCTGCTGGCACAAAGGCCCACCTGCCACCCAGCCGCCCTTAACCCGCGGGCGGGGCGGGCTCCGTGGCAGTTAACCAGCTCAGGCCCGCTGCTATGGGCTGACCCTGTGCAGGCGGGAAACTGAGGGCTGACTGGAGGAGGGCCGCGGTGAGACCCAGAGATGAGCCCAGGATGTGGAGACGACAGAGGGTCCCCGTCTTCCCCGCCGCCCCAGTCTGAGCAGCCTCCCTTCTTTCAGCTGCCTTTGAGGACAAAACAGCCAGGCTCAGCGCTGGCTTGGGGCGGGGGCACCCCGTGACTGCACCCGCCGCAACGGGCCGCTGTCCTCACTGTAACGTGAGAAGTCACTACCTGCCAGGGCACTGCTGCCAGGGTCAGAGCAGCTGGGCAGCTGCCCCCCACACGCACCCCCACCGGACTGTCTGGCTGGATTCTGCTGCCTGTCCCCAGCCGGTGGGTTCTGCCAGGCCCAGCCGCCCAGTGGGGGACGCCAGGCCCCTCTCCTTGCTCAGGGAGCGGCGCGCTGGGCTCTCAGGCTGTGGCAGAGGAGCGGGGCTGTGTCCCCCAGGCCGGCCCCCCAGGCCTGAGGGGTGACGCTGACACACTTCCTCCTCTCCGGCCTTGCTTTCCTCCTCCGGGGCAAGCCCCCAGCGCGGTGATCGCCACAGACAGGAAAGGGCCTCCGGCCACGTGAGGCCACGTTCCCGGGTACACACAGACACAGCGCCACAAACAGGAAGGTCTGCACGGAGGCCCAGGCTCCGCAGCTTCCGAGGGCGGAACCCCGAGATGAGCGGCGCGGGTGGGGGCCCAAGGAAGAGCTCGGGGTGCTGGGAGCTGGGTGAGCGCAGGAAGCGTGAGCCCAGGTGCTGCAACACCAGGCGCAGGAAATCAGAGCGGAGGGCCCCTTCCGAGGGAGCCCTAGTCCCCTCGGGCATCGCCTGCCCCCCTTGATCTCTTGGGAGCCCCTAGCCCCCTCCAAATGCTCAGTCACTTCCTCCCTCTGAGCCAGAGCCAAAGTGGGACAAGATGTGTGGGTGAGAGAGAGAGAGAGAATTTGCCCCTCTACCTCCTCGGAGATGGTCCCCAATATCCCAGATGGCTGACTTTGCCTGAGGGGGGCAGTCGTGTGGGGGGCAGGGAAGACCTGGGACTCAGCCTGTCAGCGTTCCCTGCCTCCCCAGGAAAGCATAAGCCACAGTCCCGCCACGCACCCTCCTTGGCCACGGCGGATCTGACACAGACACGCGGCACACATGCTCCCACTGGCCGGCAGGCCCCTGTCCGGCCTCCTGTCCACCCCCTCCCCAGCCGCCACCACAGCGCACACTCCTCCCGCTGAAGCGTGCTCGGGAACCCACTCCGGAGCTGAGGTACGGCTCCCCCGGCACGCCGGCGGCATAGGCCTGGAGGTGGGGGATGCCAAGAATTCTGAAGGATGCCGCCCCCTCCCCAAAAGGGGCACCACGATGGCTCCTTCCTCAGGAGACCCTCAGCCCCCTTCCCCACCCGCACAGCCAGGAAGCCCAGGCCCGGACGGGGGCAGCCTGGCCTGGCCACCTGTCAGGTCAGGGCTCTCAGGGACTCCTGCCCCTTCCCAACACCCACTTGGCAGAACACCCCATGCCAGGCTGGGCCAGAGCAACCAGGGAAGCGGACTTCTAGAAGGAGCCCAGAAGTCAAGCAGCGGCCAGCCTGGCCGTTGAAAAAGGTGGGCAATCCACCTGAGGGCCACCTGCTGCCCCGGAGCTCAGACAGGGGCGCCGGACGCCTGCCCTCAGGTCTGAGGAAAGGGCAGAAGGTGAGCCCAAACTGAGTGGCAGGCGGGCAGCTTCTCTTCCAGGCTGCCGGGGACCCTGCCCAGTAGAGAGTTGTTCACTGAACCTCGGCAGAAGCCACTTCCTGGGCCCACAGCGGCTGGTCTGTCACCTGTTCTCTGGCCCTGGAGACCCACGTGTCCAGCAGCAGCTCCAGGCGCGAGCGGTGGAAGGCGCGGGTCGTCTTGACAGCGATGAAGATGTGGTGCAGCTGCAGGTCGGGGGGCCGAGGGCGGGGCGTGGTCAGCGCAGGGGTCTCCTGCACATCGCGGGGGGCCGGGCTCGAGCCGTACAGCAAGGAGAGCAGCCCCATGCACAGAAGGGTGCCGAGGACGCCCGCCACGCCCCGGGGGAGCCGGCCCTGCATCAGCCCTGGAACCCCAGACGGCTCAGCCCCCAAATCCCCACGGGACCAGGGGGCAGCAGGCTCCGGCGGAGGCCCAGAAAGTCTAGCAGGCGTCCGGGACAGGCGAGGCGGGGAGCGGTGGGAGCTGGCCCCGGGACCCCAGGCTGAGCCTTGGCAGAGCGCCGCTGCCCTCCACCTGCTC